TGAAGGGAGACATCGGACAGGGCAAGATATGACAAAATAATAATTTATAAATTATCAAGGACTCATGAGGGAGTGGGAGCGGGGAGGGAGGGGGAAATGAGGACCTAAGGTTGGGGGCTTAAGTGGAGAGGAAATGTTTTGAGAATGACGAGGGCAATGAATATACAAATGTGCTTTACACAATTGATGTATGTATGGGTTGTGATAAGAGTTGTATGAGCCCCTAATAAAACGATAAAAAAAAAACCTTACCCAAATAAATGCTGTCTAAAAGAAACTCACTTCAATGGGGAAAGATGTATTATATAAACATTAATCAAAGGAAAACAGGGATAGTTATATTAATGCCACATAAGGCTGAAGTCGGAGCAAAGATAACTATCAGAAACAGATGCATATTATACAATGATAAAAGGGGCAATTTATCAAGAAGGTGTAGCAATCTTAAGAGTGTATGCACTAAACAAGAGTTATAAAATACGTGAAGTAAAAGCTGAAAGGACTGAAAGGATTAATAGTCAAATCAATAATTATTGGTGAAAACCAACACTCCTCTCTCAACAATTGACAAGAATAACTAAACAGAAAATCAGCAAAGATATAGAAGAATTCAATAACACTCCCAAACTAGAAAAGATCTAATCAATGTGTATAGAGCACCCCACCAAATATCAAAGTCCACACGTCTTCAAGGATTCCTGGAACACAGACCATCATTGACCCTACCTTGACCATGAAACCTCAACAAACTCAGAAGAATTGAAATTATACTCACTGTGTTCTCTGACCATAGTTGGAATCAAACTAGAAAACTGGGAGGAAAATCTGCAAACACTTCGAACCCAAATAACACAGTTCTAAATAACCCAGCGGTTCTCAACCTGTGGGCTGCAACCCCTTTGGGGGTCGAACAATCCTTTCACAGGGGTCGCCCGATTCATAACAGTAGCAAAATTACAGTTAAGAAGTAGCAACGAAAATAACTTTTTGGTTGGGGGGTCACCACAACATAAGGAACTGTATTACAGGGTTGTAGCAGTAGGAAGGTTGAGAACCATTGAAATAACCCACGGGTTGATCAAAGAGAAAGTTTTGAGATAAATAGGAAAAAATAGTACTTAACTAAATGAAAATGGAAATAAATACTAAAGATGTGTGAAGCACATGTAAAGTATGCTAAAAGAGAAATTTATAGCACTAAGTTCTTATAATAGAAATCTCAAATCTACGGGCTTCAAAAAATTCATGAAAGCATATGGAAATTTTCCATGAACTTTCTGAAGCAACTTCATATTACCCTAATACCCAAACAAGATAAAAACATGTATGAAAATTTTTAAAAAGAAAAAAATGTTAATAAAATAGTAGCAAATACAATTTAGAAATACGTATATAAAAAGATAATGCAACAGGATCACACAGGGATACACTCTTTTAAAACAAATTATTTCGAACCCAAGATTCTCAGATTCCAAGGTACCCACTTCCCTCGGTTTGATTACTCTTTCCTTCTTTCAGCCTGGTGACCATTTCTGTATCAAGCCCTCTACTTCAACCTCCTGTAATTTTCCTCTGTAGCCTCCAACCTCAGGAGGAGGGGGCAGAGAGTGGGTGTGGGATGAAGAGTAGATCAGAATCAGTGAGTAATAACACCTACCAGGATGGCTAGGTTCACATCAAACTCCTAATGGAACACATATTCAAGGAAAAGACTAAAATACATACCCCATTCCACAACTTCCAATCAGCAGATTTAAAGATCCAGTGCAGTTGGGGAACGGGGACGGAATGTTGCTGTGTGAACGGAAGGGAGGAATTAGTGATAACAACCAGGTAATAGACCTGACAGGTAAAAAACCCAAAAAAACTAGCAACTGACAATTAGACATACTAGAGAACACGCACCATGGAAAGGGAAAAAAACTTCTAAAATTAGATCTTAATGTCAAGTAACTACAATTATATACGCGAACTTGTTTTTAATTTGCACCTATTATGAAACATATCCATGCCTATCATTAAATATGTGTCAGCACTAACTTCATTTTGAGTTTCATTTTATTATAACTGCAACCTTTTGTTCTATCCCAGCCCCTGCATAGGCTTTTATTGTTGCCTGCAAATGTAGCCTTTAGTGATAACTGACATTTTTTCCTTCTTAGATATATTTTTAAAACATTAGCAAGCCACCATTCTGTCACAGGTCAGTAACATAGTGTCCCACTTCTCCATAGGAGTCCATCCTGAAACCAAAATACATTTTCCAAACCCAAGCTACTCCTTACAATACAAAAGCATTGTTACTACAATGCTTTTCCAAAAATAACATTTTTTAATCACCTCCTACCTGATGAGGCAGAAATGGCTTTACACAAATATCAAAATCTAAACTCTTACATGGCTTAATGAAAAATTACTAAATTCCCACCAGGTCTTGAGGACGATGATCCCAATTAGAGCAGCCAGTCCACCGAGAGGACCACATGGACAGTCCCACTATGAGGCATGATTCCCTTCTCTGACCCATGGCCCTGCGGGGGGCAGCACCTGAGACACAGTGTGGGAAATGCGCCTAAACTGTTCCCGCCACACCAAGGCAAAGCACTGGGAGAGTTTAGCGGAACAGCAAGGGAATGGAGTGGCAAGGTCCCCAGGGAATGCTGAAGGTGGGCTTTGGGGCCAGGGTGTGGTGCCCCAACAGACTGGACTGGAAAACACTCTTAAAGGCTAACCAACGATCCTTGAACTAACTACCAGCTTTTCTTTCTTGTTGTGTTTTGTTTTGTTCTTTGTCAGTGGTTTGCTGTATATTGTTGCTTGGTTTTGCTCTGTCTTGTTTTTGTGCATGTTATTATCTCCATAGGTCTGTATAAAT